CTGCATTAATGGATGATCCTCCAGGATATTCTCCACATTTTCAAATGTCAGCTGGAGGTATTGGCTGCTGTGGTTGCCTTTTGTGCCATCATGGAGGAGAAAGTCCAAAACAATACTGACTTCCATGATGAAGCCTGGGCCCTGCTAGACTCGTCAGAGTTGTCACACCGCTCCTGGGCTGTGTTACAGGTGTTTGGCTTTCAGCTGTGAGCTAGAATGCAGCTAACTGGGAAGCAGCTTAGCTTGATGTGTGTAGTTGATTCTCCTCACTGGAGCAAAGCAAAACTGAGCAGGTGCTGGGAATGTTCTGGAAGAGAGAAATGAGGAAAGACCTTAGTATTTGGTGGATAGGGGAGTTGTTTTTCCAACAACTTGTTTTCTCTGCTGATAAGTGTATTGTACTAACAGAACCTTTTCTTTCCCAGCAAATTATGAAGGACAGGTGGATCAATGCAGGGCATGAGGAGGATGAACTTAAACCATTTGTTGAACCAGAACTAGACATCTCGGACCAGAAAAGAATAGGTAATTGAGTACTTTTCAGAGTATGATACTGTTTCCATGATGTGGGAGGATTTTATTTCTCCTCCACCACTCTGGATTTGTTTGCCATTTGAAAAAAGCAACTTTTAATACTGATGTGTGTTCTTAAACCTAATAGTTTTGTTTTAATACTTAAAACATTCCATGCTTTCTCCTGAAGACTGAGCCAGCCTGAACATCAGTTTGTTACTTACAGAATGTGTGTTTGTTTGTAGACATTATGGTAGGAATGGGATATTCTCAAGAAGAAATTCAAGAATCCCTTAGTAAAATGAAGTATGATGAAATCACAGCTACGTACTTACTGCTAGGAAGGAAGTCATCAGAGGTAAGTACCATTCTTAAAACTGCAAAGAAACAAATTAGAAAGTGACCTTAGCAAAGGTAGAAGCAAAAATTAAGTCAGTAACTCTAGGCATTGCATTCTTGCACAAAAGTCCATTGCACTTAGTCGCAGTGTTCTAATCAGCAGTGTGAGTTAGTTGTCAGTCCTAATGATGCTCTGTTTGTTCTCACCCTGATCTTGAGTCAGTAAACTCTTGCCTTTAGGATCCTCCAAACAGCTCTGCTTGCTCAGCAGTTCCTCTGTTGAAGGAAATTGTGTCCAGTTACTGTCCTGTCTAGTCTAGGAACTCAAGTGTGAATGTGACTGTTTTAAGAGAACCAAGGAGCTGGACTGATGAGCCTGCAAATGTTTCTGCATTATAGATTACCTTTCCATATGATGCTGAGAGGCTTTGGCATCAGTAAACTGCTCTTGGTTCCTTCAAAGGAGGAGTTGCTGTGGTGGCCTCTGCAAAATGTATACTCTCTTCCTGTTAAAATCTTGGAGAACTCTGAAGGGAAAGAACTATGAGTACAGTGGCATTTTCTTTATCTGATTATCCTTTGAGGAGCTGCAAATTCCGATGGGTTTTACCTAAGACAGCTGCACAACAACCCAGGAGAAGGTGGTGCCTCTAAGCAACTTCCCTTGCAGAGCCATCTTCCACCTCCCAGTTCCCGCTCCCATCATGTGATGGATGTTTGTTTTGTCTGAACTCTTTGTTTTAACACTCTCATTTGTATTGTAGTTGGATGCAAGTGATTCAAGCTCCAGCAGCAATCTTTCACTTGCCAAAGTTAGGCCAAGTAGTGATCTTAATAATAGCACTGGACAATCTCCTCATCACAAAGTTCAGAGAAGCATATCTTCTAGCCAGAAGCAGCGGCGGTACAGCGACCATGGTGAGCATTCCTCCTTTTCATTGTGGCAGAGCCCCAGTTCTGCTTGGTTTCTGCATTTGTCTCCATCCCCCAGGCATGAGGAGGGTGACAGCAACATAGTGCACAGCATGGGGGTTAAATGTTTTATGGAATCACTCATCTTTCCAACTAGTTTTGTTATAAAGTCTTCCAAAGCAGCTTCTAGAGGGAACTTAACTCTTGTTCTGCCTTGTGTTGTCCCTTACATTCTTGACTGTGCTGGGAAAGTCTTGTTAGACAAAGTGAAGAGGCTGCTACAAGTCCCTTTTCCATGCTCTCTTCCCCCCATGCTCTTGTCTGTCTGCTCAGCTTTTGTTTCCTTTTGACACTAGTAGGTCAGCTTGTGTCTAAAACTTGAAGAAATGTCAGTTTGCCAATATTTCTTGTTTCCTGTTTCCTGAGGGTTGTGTCGCTTGATTGTCCTGCAGGAGTGAAATTTCTAAGGAACAATGGCTCAGACAAACTTACTACTCTTCTGCCTAATGGAGTGCAAGATGGTAGATCGAGTTTTCCTAAGTGTCTTAAACATCTTCACTCAGATACTAACTGAGCCTCAGTTTAGGTCTAGTTTTAAATCCCTCAAGTGCATTCAGAGGTTGCTTTCTTTGGGGAGTCTCCTGGGATGACAGTTACTGTGGGTTTTGATGCTTTTAAAATATATTGGATCTCTATATTACATATATATATATTTATGTGGGAGTTATGTCTGTGTATATACGGACACTTTTTGATTAACTGTTATTAAAGCACTAACTACAAAGCTGATGTATCCTCTTCAGAGAAGGTGTAACTGAGATGGCAGAAAGCACAAACCTGACAGCCCCACAAGCCTTTCCCACTGTCCTGGAACCTGTTGCAGGAAGAGGGAGCTTGGGCCTGTTGAAGGGACATTGTCAGGTGTGCTGAGCAGTTGTCTGTTCCTAGCACACCCAAGGAGGCTGGTGGCAAAGCACTGCCACTTTTGGCTGTTGAGGGAGCACAGTCTGACAGCCATTCATGGGTGGTGTCCCCAGGTGCCTTCTCAGGAGCCTGTTCTTATCAGAAATTGACTTGAGCAGTGTGTGCCAGCACTGTGCCAGTGAAGCATGGTGTGCTTTGGATGAGTCAGTTGCTTGTTAAGTGTCTTTAAGATGACTCTAAAGGGTTTTTCCTAGCAAGCCAAATGAAAGACTTTCGTGAAATTTCCAAGTAGCAATCAGGTAGTATCTTCACCTGGAAAGGTTTATGGTTTTCACAGTATTTACTGTCTACTGCAATACATCTATGTCAGTAATTTCAATAGTTGCCTTTTTGCAGCTCTGATTCCCAGTGTTGATTCTCCAGCTTCTGAGAAGAAAAACCCTTTGCCTGTTTCTTTTGTTTGTTTTTTTAAGCTGGACCATCCATCCCCTCAGTAGTGGCATATCCCAAAAGAAGCCAGACTAGTACTACAGACAGTGACCTCAAAGAGGAAGGAATTCAGTCGAGAAAGTCCAGCAGTAGTGCTGTTCCAGGAAGAGGAATTGCACCAGCCAGTCCAATGCTTGGGAATGCCAGCAATCCCAACAAGGCTGATATTCCTGAACGTAAGAAAAGTTCAGCTGTTCCTAGTGTAAGTAGAAACATTTATTTTTCAAAACTATTCATTTTTTGAGGGGTAAAAACGTGTAAAACCTGCGGTTTATCAGTGATGCTGATTGACTTTCATTCATCAAGAGTAAATGTAGATGTCTCATGCTGCTGCTTTCCCCACACCTCCTGCAATCAGTTACTCTTGTTACCTCTTAATTGGTCTTGAAGTAGTTCATTGGTACCCATAATTATCATTAGGAGCTGTTAGTGAACAGATGTCATTTGGCTTGTAAAATAATCATTCAGAAGAAAAAGAAGCTGAACCCAAAGTCTGTCCCCTGAAATTTCACATGGTGTCTCCAGCTACTCTTTTCTGGCCTCTGTACACAAGAATGAAAACTCTGGTTTTGTTACCCTGTTTTGTACTTTCATGTGTATAAGGAGCCACCTGATCTTTGACCTCAAACAGCCTATTTCAAGTCATAGTTTTGTATATTAAGATGATCAAAGAAATGTAGTTCTATAAACCGTTCAAAGGTGTATTTCAGCCTGGGTTCAAACGCAGTGTTGCCTGGGTTTTGTCCTTGTGGGCTTCCCCCACCTGCCCCTAAACCACCACAACAACAGAAAAAAACACACTAAGGTGCAAAACTAGTGACTTTACAGTGGCTTTAGACAGTGTATCAAAAGCAAATGCTTTGTTCAGTTTGACTTTACCTTAGAATCATAGGCTCATCAAGGCTGGAGGAGACCTCTGAGATCATCAAGTCGAACCATTAACCTGTCACTGCTGGAACCCCTAAATCCTAAGCCAGATCCTACAGTGCCAGATCCAGACACCTCTGAAACATCTCCAGGGATGGTGACTCCACTACCTCCCTGGGCAATATTCCAGTGCCCCAACACCACAACAGGGAACACATTTCTCCTCACATCCAATCTGACTCTGCCCTGGCTCAGCTCAAGGCCATTCCCTCTATCCTCTCCCTGCAGCCCTGGCAGGACACACATCCCCCACCTCTCTCCAGCCCTGGCAGGAGTTGCAGAGAGCCATGAGAGGTCACCCCTGAGCCTCTTCTCCAGGCTAACTAAGCCCAACTCCCTCAGCCCTTTCTCATACAACATGTTTGGTAGGCCTTGTGTACTAGACTTGTTTTCTAGACTCGTGTACTCTGTGGTCCCTCCCTCTGAGGCAGTTGGCAATCTGTTTTCACATGACACTTGGACATTTGTAACATAAAATTTCTAAAATTTTGGGATTTTGTATTGATAAACTTCCTTCTTTTCAGAACAAAATTGCCCAGTCCTTTATTCAACTTGCAGTGGAGTGATTTCTTTTTTTAAACCTGTGCCACAAAGCTGTCACACTCGGTCATACGACTCAGCACCATTGCTTACAACAGAGGAGAACATAATCTCCTGAGCTCACAGCTTTTTGACAGTCTGAAGCAAAAGAAGTCAGATAACTTGCATTACTTTGTTGGCCCTGTATTGTCAGTTGGCTCAGTGGCTTACAGGGACTTGGCTGGAGGATTTCAGCCAAAGAGATTCCTTGGAAAAAGCCCATCTACTGTAGCAGCTGTTGCTCATAAATGTGAACAAGAACGCAGGACTTTTGGGTCCTCTGTGCCTTCTCTTCATTTTCTGTCCAGAAACCACTCACATTTAGGTTTTTCCTTACATGACAGTTCCCAGCTACTGCATCTCAAAATGGCAGGATAATCAAATTAGTTTGGTTCCACACTGTACTTCACTTGGTACTGAGTAGTGCTTTGTGTCACAGTTACAATGTATTTTACATTTAGTGTCTTTTCAGCTGCTATTCTGTGCCACTTCCAAATCCTGGGGATTTATTCCAGTAGTCTTATTCCAAATTTCTTACTACTGTGCCTGAAATAAGATTTGAGCTCATAACCATAGGATTGCTTCTCTCCTCTGACTCGTTGTGCTACTGCTCCAACTGATCTTTTACAAACAGTGGCAAACATGGAGTCAGACTTGTGATGTCACTAATTAATTAGTGTTTCAAATTGTCTCTGTTTATTCTCTTCTTGTCAGACAGTGCAAACTCTTCCTATCTCTTTTCTTTCCCCCCTGCTAGAGATGAGTCTTTGGCTTTCTAGCTGTTGGGGATGAAGGGAAACACTGACACTTCATACAGTTCCTGCAGCTGATTAGGGAGTTCTGTTTCTTAGTGTTGGCACAAAGTTAAAAAAAGAGGTTATTGGAGTTATGTTGTCCTGATGTTGAAAAAAGTTTGAGGCGAAGAGAGTTTGTGTTCTCGCTGAGTATTTAACTCTTAAAATCTGTAATATGATGAAAAAACTCACTGAAGAGGCAGAAAAGTACTGTATAAAAACAATTATTACTTAGAGAACAGCAAAGGCAGTAGAGCCAGTCCTTGCTGGAGACCCTTAGTCAGTTCTGTGCTACTCTTATTAAACCACAAAGCTTGCAAATATGCACTTAAGGTAAGAGTTGTGCTTGTAGAGCAGATTGCTAAGTCTGGGGTTGGAGTAAGGGGCTCCAACCTGTACTTCTGAAGTTGACAGAACATTTAAACTCCTGTAAACTAAATAGTTCTGCAAGCTGAACAAGTGCACATGAAAAATCTTCAAGCTCATTGGGCAAATACCAAATCAATAACAAAAACCTGCTGCAGGGGTTGCATAGTTAGCAGCAACTCATAACTCCTTGTTTTAGGTAATTGCTTGTTTATTACTCACAGCTTTGGTTTTTTCCTCAGTGTTGTGATAAGGCTGCTCCAGAACACTCAGTTTGGCTTTAAGAAAGCTGGAAGAAGAGAATAAGTGGTGCATTTGGAGAATCATCTGTGACCAGTACCTTACTGGTGCTCTTCAGTAGCTAGATAGGTTCTCTAAGTCAGAAACATATTTTTCAAGTTTTTCATCATATAGAATCATGGAACCATCAAGGCTGGAGGAGACACCTAAGATCAAGTCCAACCATTAACCTGTCACTGCTGGAACCCCTAAACCCTAAACCAGATCCTCCAGTGCCACATCCAGACACCTCTTCAACACCTCCAGGGATGGTGACTCCACCACCTCCCTGGGCAATATCCCAGTGCCTCAACACCCTCACAGGGAAAACATTTCTCCTCACATCCAATCTGACTCTGCCCTGGCTCAGCTCAAGGCCATTCCCTCTATCCTCTCCCTGCAGCCCTGGCAGGACACACATCCCACACCTCTCTCCAGCCCTGGCAGGGAGTTGTGTATCCCACCTTTGTGTCTCTAATGGGAGCACTGCCTGTCTGAGCAGTGCACACAAAACTCTCTCTAGGAAAAGAAGGCTCTGTACCATAAGTCCATCCTTTGTGCTGTGATTGTACCTTGTGCATCTGCTCCCAAGTCTCAGTGTGTGCTTTTGCAGTGTCAGCACCTCTGCAGCAAAGGCAGACGATGGGACAAGGATGAACTGAGGCAGCTAACCCTGACCTTAGGGATTCTCATTCCATCAGGCAGTGGGGTGCTGTTGACACCAGTTTCCTGTGCTGTGCACCTGTGCCATTAGTCATGTCCAGAGATTAGCAGTCTGGAGATGGACTGAACAAAAACGTCGCAGCTGAAGAGCTTCCTCAGTGAATCGTGAAAGGTCATACGCTGAAAAGTGTAAAGGCCCAAATACCAAGACTATTCTAGCTAAAACTGAAATTTGAAACCTTGAGATGCTTAAATCTCTTCTCCTGACTTCTGAAATCTGAGCCAAGCAGGAAAAAAGAAGTGTACCGTTCCTTCCATCCTTGCAGAAGGAAGGTTGGAAGAAGGAAGTCACTCATGATTGTGCTTATTTCCCACCAGAACACCAATGTTGTATATTTTAGGTGCTTCATTCTCTAATATAGAGTCATAGAACCCTCTAGGTTGGACGAGACCTCCAAGATCATCGAGTCCAACCATTAATCTGTCACTGCTGGAACCCCTAAACCCTAAACCAGATCCTCCAGTGCCACATCCAGACACCTCTTCAACACCTCCAGGGATGGTGACTCCACCACCTCCCTGGGCAATATCCCAGTGCCTCAGCACCCTCACAGGGAAAACATTTTTTCCTAACATATAAAAACAAAAAAATTTTTCCAAACATCGTAAAACAGATATGAAGACAGTGGACAAGTAAGGACTGAAGTACAAGCCAAGGGCCAGTAACACTTTTTCTGATGCTTGGCACATGCCTATCCCTAAGGCATATTCAGCAACGAATAGTTGAGAACCCTTGAGACACCTACATACATCTTATGATTCAATTAATAGTTCTGCTGATCTAAAATACTCTGGATATTCTTTGCCCTTTTTAGCACCAGGAGGCTGCACAGCTCACTGTTGCATTTTAGCTTGTATATTTATGTAAAAAAGATGTTTAACAAGCAGCTCAAATGTGGCTTAGACATTATGGTTTAAATCTGCAGCTCAGGGATTGTGTTGCCTGAGACTCCCTGGAGAGCAAATATTTTGCCTTAAGGCCCTGGAGGAGCTTTTGCTGGTTATTGAGAATACTCCACTCTTAACAGTTTTATTTCAGGTTCGGAAACAACAAAGGTTTGGCTACTCTCCTTTTGTGCTCGAACTACTTTTTCCTTCCTTTTCTTTATCCTCCTGCCCATGACTCTCTCCTGTGACCGTTTATGCAGAACCTTTTCTGAATGCTATGTTAAAAATCCGCTGAATTTCCCTTGTCTGTCATAGCACTAATTCTTCAAAGAGCTCCAAAAGGTTAGTTGAGCATGAAGTCCCTTGCCTGACTCTTAGTGGCCATCCTGACTCAACATGTGCTTATCCAGGTGCTGACCAGTCATTCCCTTGAGCTAGCCTCCTCCAGACTTTCCCCAGCAGTGATGTTTAAAGTTGATATAGCCTATTTTGCTTCCTGCTTTGCCTCGTGATCCTTTTCCTTAAAGACAGTTTTTAAAGGGTTGTTTTTGTTTTCCACTTTCCAACCATATATGCAGTTTCCTGTGTTTTGTTCTTGGGGTGGGGAGAAAAAAAAAAATCTACATGGCTTGCCGGCTTTGACTTCCTCTAGGACCTGGGGGTGCATGTTTGTCTGGAGCACCATGCTTTTCCTTCAGTGACTGCATCTAACTCTCTGTAATTCTGTTATCTGTGAACTGCCTAGCTGCTCAGTCGTTCCTGGAAAATTGACCGCCAACTTGGGCATATCTCCACCCTCTTTCTCTGTAAAGACAGAGGCAAAGTAATTCTATTTCTTTTCTCCCCTCTAAAGTAAGGTCTGTAGTGTAAGTTCCCCTGGTTCTCTTGTCCTCAGTGTATTCTGCTTGTATTTAAATGTAACTTTTTATAACTGTCTTACTAAAATTCTCTGCGACTTGTCTCTTATTCTTCCCTGTTTTTAAAACTTGTGTCTAGTGTTTTATAGCATCTTAATATTTAAAAGTCCATGTTTGCCTTCCCACTGAATTTTACCACATTTGTTTGTTAAGTCTTTGCTTTTCCTATCTTGTTTAAGGGTATGATTTTAACTTAAAAGGAAAATTCTGCAAGCTGCAAGTGGTAAAGTATTGCCAAAACCAGGCTGTAATGACACAGGCTATCCTGATGTAGATGAGTGCTGTGTGTGCTGAGCATATCTAGTTCAGAGCATTGGTAATGAAAAACTTGAAGCAATATTAGTTTTGAGCCATCAATATGAAATACAAGAGTAACTTAATAGAATTATCTTTTCTGATTGCACTATTGCTTATAAAGACTAGATGGAGTTTCTCTCTTAAGTTATTTATAATTCCTGTAAGTTTTATAACTGTGTAGAACTAGCATGAAGTCAAACAGCCTTCAATGATGTGTAGACTTAACCCCAGAAAAGCCTTTTGTGGGGAATAACAAGCCTCTGTTTTTCACTTGTAGAATAATACTGCCCCAGGAGCAATGACACGGCGCAACACATATGTTTGTAGTGAAAGAACCACTGCTGATAGGCATTCAGTGATACAAAATGGCAAGGAGAACAGGTATATGAAATGTCTTCCTATGGTCTATGTCCCTTGTCTCCACATTTCCCAAAACATTGTAATGCCTCGTTTAAAAATCAGTTCTATTCTAACCTAATTCTTCCTGAAAGGTGAGTACAGATCTTGGGTTGTGGAGCACCTGTAAGTATGTTGGGCTTTGTTGGGTTTTTTTGCCTATGCTTAATTTGTATAGTCTTTATGCTTAGAATGTAAAAGAAAGTTTCTAGTCTCTGGTTAAATACATGTGATATTTTTAGCAGCCTTCATCTTAAATCTGTTTTCAACCCCTGTGGCCAAACGACATGTGCTTGCAGCAGTGGCTTGTTTAGTGTCAGGCTACAAACTCCATCTCTCTTGAGCCATTCTCTTTTGATATTTCACTCTCTGCTTCCTTGAGATTGTTTGTAATACTATTTTTGCTGCAAAGTCTCTGGGAGAAAGTAGATTTTTTTCTAAGCAAAGATGAAATAGTGATAGGCCATTGCCTTGGACTAGTAGTGTTCCTTGCACTTTCTCTGGTGGTCTCATTGCTTCCCAGTGTTGACAGTACTCAACTTGAGGAGGAAAGCAGCTACCTCCAGTCAGAAAAACAGCAAGTTTCCTCCTCCTTTACTGAGTGAAGTCCTGACTAGAGCATGGAATGGAATTGGAGTTAACCACTTCATGTGTTGGCACCATAGTCACATCTAGTGTACCAAACACTGAGAAGAGCTGTCAGAAACAATACAGTAGTAAACACAGACACAGGGATAGAGTAATAATTGGGAAGAATACCACCACATTTCCTGGCTGGCTGAGGTGTTTTAAGTCCCAACTGTTCTCCTCAGAATTTCACTGCTGTCTAAAGCTGCTGGCAGTTAAGTAGTTGACCATTGCCAGAAGAGCATTCAGATAGCTGGTACTTAATAAAAAGGCTTCAGCCTAGAGGAGTCTGTATCCCTCTACTCTTTCCAATTTTCTCCACCCCTTCCTAATCTGGTATTTTGTAAAAAGTGGGAAGGAAATACCTATTTTCAACCTGGTGTTGAAAATAGTGGAAGTTCTACCTTTTTTTTTTTTTGCATGAATTTTTCCCCCCTCCTGTTTTTTGGCAGTTTATAAGGAGGAGTGGTAAAGCTGTGATGCTGAATGGAAACTCTGTGTGTCCCCTGTTTTATTCCTGGAGCCTAGGGATAAAGAACATGATTTTGACCCTGTCTCTTCCTCCTAGCTTTCTGCAAACGGAAAGTGATTAAGGAAAAAGTCAAGTATAAGTCTGAAGATTGCCATAAGTCTAGTTGGCCACCTGGGCCTGCACTCAACTGTGTTATGAATACAGCACAGCTCTTTGGTACTGTCTCTTGGTGTGTCTGTCTCAGCCTTCACTGGTTACTCCTTGTTAACATTACCAAGTTTGTTTAGATTAAAGCTCACCAACCTTTCTTGGATTTGATATGTTAATAGCTTTTTTCCTCTCTCAAAACACTTTGAGAAATGAATCTTTCTGTCCAAAATAGTTCGGATCATTTTTGATTACTTGATCAATTTTTTTGCTCGTTTTTAAACGAATATCTTGTCTACAATTTCTTTATTGTATTTTTTAAAGTTGTGAGATACTGTTTACTAGGAATCCTTGAGATTCAGGTGTCGGCTTAATTTAGGAGTGACTACAGAAGGAGTTATCTTTTGGAGGTATTTTTTCACCAGCTTGGAGTTTCTCAGCAAACTGATGTTTTTCTGGTTTGTCACATTCTGACACTAAGCTCAAAGTTAACATTGAGTAGCATTTGGCAACTGTATTAATTGTATTTTATTTCTAATTGGTTATCCTTGTGTAATTCTCCTTCTATTGTCAGGATGATATTTAAACGTCATTTGCTTTTCCTACTAACTGGCTTTATTGGGTGGGGTCATTTGAAATGTCTGAGAATGTTTATTTTCACTGTCAGGTAAAAAAAATCTTTGTAGCTTTTATCATGTATTTTTGATTACTACATTCATTGCTCTTTATAGAGAGTTAGAAAAGATAATGAGAATGCATTGCTAATTGTTTTACAGTTGGAGACTTACTGTCTGAAATGCTTCAGTACTAAACTGCATGTTCATTTTGGCACAGTTTCAGAATTACTGTGATTTGGCACAGAACTCAGAACTTTGTCTATATTTTGTTGCTGTAACTGGGTAAAGCCTTGACTGGTCACATGAAATCCAAGGACCTTTCATGCAGGCAAAATCAACTTGGCTGTTGGTGGCACTGAACTTCTGATGCTGCTGCACTCTCAGCTTGGCAGAAAGCAACTGTAGAAACTTGTTCTCTTTTCCTTCTGTGAAGTAAGATCTGAAGCAGAACCTTTATAAATTCAGGAGTTTGTTAAAATGCTTTCTGTGCTTTTGAAATGTCTATTGGTGGCAAGTGCTAAAGGCAGGAGTAATTGCTGTAAGTGATTTGTCACAGATTGGATTTGAGATTTTCCATGGCCAGTCAGACACTAACTGTCACCCAGTGAAAACTTGAGAGACTTACCCTACAGAGCAAGATGCACACATTAAAGACTCTGTTTTTCCTGTAGAGAAGGGGTTAAAATGTTGCTTGTTCTGTTTCTATCATGCCCATGGAATTCTGAGAAGGCACTTTTCCTGGGAGTATGGAAACTTGGCAGAATTGATAGCCAGCTAGTAGACTTGATGTTGGAGAAAGTCATCTTGAAGACCCCGTGCCAGACTGGTAGAAGCAAAGAGTTTTGAAGTCTCACATCCCTAGCTGAACACATTGTGTGGCTGCCACAGGCGTTGTGCTGGAGATGGCTCTGTTGGCTTTCCTCCAAAGCCTGAGCATTAATTAACGCACTTGGGGACTCATGAAACACTCTTCATAATGATAGGCAATTGCTTGAAATCATTTGTAACACAAATGATTTACAACAGCTTCAGATTTTTTAATAAGCCTTGGCACTAATTGGTGATTGTTAGCTCTCTGTTCCTGTGTTCCCAGGCTGGTAATCCAAGGAAGCTGATTTCTAGCAAAGCATCAGAGGAAGAGATATAAGTATTTTAGTATGTGCTCATAGATACCTTGAGATGTCACATCTTTGAAGGCAGGTGACTAAATCAAACTTGGGGCTAATGTGTTTCTTTCCTTTGGAACTTTTGCAGCAGATAGAGAGGAAAGGAGCTAGAAGTGCTCATTGAGAGGCTAGTGAGCAATTATTTGGGGATTACTTGACTTCAGGGTGTTAGTTTTGAGATGAATGGTCATTTTCTTACACTTTCTGACTCCCCTGGGGTAATATAAGTGCCAGGCTGTGTTGAAGGCTTCATTGTAAGTTGTGCTTGTACTTGGCATCCTGATGGATTCAGCATTGGAAAGAGATGTATGTGTGACTTAGATGAAATTTTCTAAATCTGGAAAGTTCAAACCAAATCAGAATTGGTTTTGCTAACCATTTAAGCCAGATGTCTGAGCTGTGAGATGTTCTGTGCTCATGCTTTGGGAGCTAAGCCTGAGAAGTGGCTCAGCTGCCACTTGTAACTGGACAGACACTCTCCAAAGTCTGACATACCAGAACTGGAGAACAGGACTTGAGTTTCAGTATGTGTAACCTTGAAGTAACTTGGAAGTGAACATGCAGTGCCATGAAACTGTCATTTCCTCATCTCAAGCAATACCTCTGACCTACAGTTGCCTTACTTTTAACCAGACTTCAGACAAATGACATGTGGTGGTGTAGCCTGAAAGGCCCAATACGTCTTGTGGCCTCTCACTTTCCTCCTAGCCAGATAATGTGAAGGCTGCAAAGTGTATTTTGGCCCACAGAAAGAAAAACATTTCATGCTCCTGCTGACACTTTACTGGCCATTCTGCCCAGACAGTGCTGTATACCTTCTTACCTGACTGGTAATCTGGAGCATTTAATGTTTGTGGCCAAGCAATGTGTGATGCTCTTCAGCAGTCATAACTCTTTCTTCAGGGAACAGCAGGTATATTCATTTCCTACTATATGTACAGCTTGATCATCAGTAGCCTTTTCCTTTTGGCCTCTTTGGAGTTGTTAAAGATGATGACATTTTGGGGTTTGAGTGTACATGTGAAGTCCCTCAGATGTAAATTTGACAACTTGCCCAGCTTACCTGGATTTCTTTTAGCACAGATACATTCTGCAAACAAATACTTCACTGCAGTAATGGAGCTGCCATCAGCCTTTTGAAAGTGCAGTTGGTGGGGGTTTAATGCATTGCTTACCGTTAAGTAAATACGAGTTACATCAGTGCTTTATCCTGGTGCTTTGGCACAGAATGTTGAGTCACTCAGGTTCTCTATGTCAAGGAGGGTATCACCACAAACTAATGCTAAAATATTTCACTGCAGTAATGGAGCTGCCATCAGCCTTTTGGAAAGGGCAGTTGGTGGGGGTTTAATGCATTATTTACTGTTAAGTAAGCACATCAGTGCTTTATCCTGGTGCTTTGGCACAGAATGCTGAGTTACTCAGGTTCTCTCTGTCAAGGAGAGTATCACCACAAACTGATGCTAATGGTAAGAGCGTGATCACCTTGTAGATGTCAAGTAAGGATGATTTTTAAGGGGAGTGTAGGGCAGTGACTGCTGTTTACCTAGAAGACTTGGTGTTCATTGCTTAACCCAGTTAATAGAAGGAAAAGTTTGCTTTTTATTTTTCTATGCAGTAGTTTGTTGTTGGTCCATCATGCTCTTCTTTCTGCCTCTGCCTGAACCCAAACCCCCTCGCAGCCTGACAGAAATGTTCGCTTACGCAGCTAGTCCTGCTTCAGTTTGTACCACATCCTTCTCCAGTGTTCGGCTGCGACATCAGAAGTCGATGTCCATGTCAGCCTCTGTGCACACGAAGATGATGTTGCCTCCAATAGACAATGGCGCAGATAACTTCAGGCCTATGTAAGAACCTGAAATCGTTGTGAAACTAACTTATATACCCACTGCTTCTTAACTTTGTGCTGTGGAATTTTAGTCCTAGATTGTTCTAGTATATATATTTGCCCACGAGGTGTGTGTTTCCTCATTTTTTTTAGTCTCGTTTACATTTGTCTTGTGGTGTGTCAGGCTGTCTGTGACATAATCCTGCAATAGTGAACCTCAATTTTATTTTTTTTTTTTCCTATTGGTAGGAGTATTGGACATTCCCTATTGTCAAAGTTTCTGGGAGACTTTTAACTGTGTATCCTGAAGGACTTCACTGCTTGGAGCGGTTTGCTTGTAGAGAATTTTGTGTAGGATACTTTCAAATTAGCAAGACTTTCAAAGATGTATGTGGAGGGAGAGATGTTAAAATTATTTACTGCTTCTCTTTCCTGGTTGGAAACTTCACTGGTCTATTCTATCAGTCTTTCTCAGTGAAACATTTGTATGCTGAGTTTTATCTGGTCTTTTCCAGGATACTCCTGTTGCACTTTTCTGCCTATGTAGGTTTCTGTTTCGGCAGCCTTTTAATCCTAACTTCTTACAAGTTTTGATTCCATACAGTGCTGTAATAATGTTGGTATTTCCTGGCCTCTATAAAAAAAAGTGTCTGCTTATGCTTTACCGTAGAACGTAGTGTTGTGTGTTTCCTGCCGGACCGTGGTGATCCCGTCGAGACGTTCTAGCGTTGTCTCTGTGTTTTCTGCCCTAGCACCATTCCCGATCAAAGAACTCCGGTTGCCTCGACTCACAGCATCAGCAGTGCCACCACCCCTGACCGTATCCGGTTCCCGCGCGGGACAGCCAGCCGGAGCACGTTCCACGGGCAGCTCCGTGAGCGGCGCACCGCCACCTACAACGGGCCCCCTGCCTCACCCAGCCTGTCCCACGAGGCAACTCCCCTCTCCCAGACCCGCACCCGGGGCTCCACCAACCTCTTCAGCAAACTCACTTCCAAACTAACCAGGAGGTAAGAACACAGCGGTGCCTTGGGGGTTTTTGTAGGAGAAATGTAGCTCGTCACTTTGGTGGGTTTGTCGGTGTTTTCTGATTAATGGCTTCATTCCTGCAATTTAAAATGCACTTAGAGAATCATCAGGGTTGGAGGAGATCTCTAAGGGCACCAAGTCCAAACATTGGCCTGACATTCTGCTGGAACCCTTAAAACAATAGAAATATCACAGGGGATATATCACCATCTACAACTACTGACAGGAGGTTGGAGTCAGGTGGGGGTTGGTCTCTTCTCCCAGGCAACCAGCAGCAGGACAAGAGGGCACAGACTCAAGCTCTGCCAGGGGAGGGTTAGGTTGGATATTAGGAAGAGATTTTTTAGGGAGAGAGTGCTCAGGCATTGGAATGTGCTGCCCAGGGAGGTGGTGGATTCACCATCCCTGGAGGTTTTCAAGCTGAGACTGGATGTGGCACTTAGTGCCATGGTCTAGTGACCACGGTAGGGTTGGACTTGATAATCTTTGAGGTCTCTTCCAACCAGATTGATTCTATGATTCTAATTCTATGATTCTGAAGTGTAGGGGCAGGAAATAAAAGCTTCTGTGCTAGCACAGGCCATCCTAAAATAATAGCAGTACTACCTAGTAGCACATTGCTTAGGTGGTTTTGTCCACACTCTGTGATTAATGGTTTCATTTCTGCAACTTAAAATACACTTACAGACTCATAGAACCATCAAGGTTGGAGGAGACCTCTGAGATCATCGAGTCCAACCATTAACCTACCACTCTTCTGTAACCCCTAAACAATATCCTCCAGCACAAGATCCAGACATCTCTTCTAGTATCTTTTCTAGCTCTCTTTTGATTGCAGAAGCCATTTGTTTCTAGCAGTTGAATCAAATGGCATTAAAAGGGAGACAGTTTAGGCTGTGCTGTTTCGTCTGTGCTCTTCAACCTCATGTCTGAGGTGTGAATGCTGCAGAGATGAAACGTTTCGGTTGAAAAGCTGCTCACTCTGACTGTGTGGTGTGTCAGTAAATGGCATAAACTAGGATCCCAGTCTCTGTTTAGTGCAGCATTAGAAGCTCAGGTTGTGTTTCCCAGTCACTCTGTCAGTGTTTCCAGAGTAACTTTGCTGGCAGCACACAAGTAGAAACGTCACAGGTGAAAGGGTAGGGCAGGAGGCAAAAGGTTCTGTGGCAGCAGGGCTAGCACAGGCCATCCTAAAGTAATGGCACTACTAGGGTCGCAGTATAGGCAAACCTGGTCAAACCTTGAAATCTTACTCCTTTTTTGCCCTGGTTTTGGTGTGGAGGTGTGTTGGCCTAGCCAAAGCCTACCTTAGGCAGGAGTAGCTCCTGCTCTAAGAGTTTTTATTCTAATTGGACTTCAAGTTTCAAATCCATGTATGTTTTCAATTAGTTCCTACGAACCCTGACATTGAAAAACACCTTTTTTTCTTTCTGTATTTCGAACCCGTCAGTTCACATACCACATACTACAGACCACTCTGCTATCTGATATCCGCAACTTGTGTTTGCAGAAGTGAGAGCTTGTTTGCTTTCAGATAATGGCCAAGCTTTTGTACCCTCATCATCATCAGAAATTTTTTTGGGACTGTCTCGTTCTGATCTTGGCCCTGCTAGCTTTTGGTTTAGGCTCATATCACATCAGCACCAAACCATTCCTCTCCTGTCTGTCTTATGACTAGGTTTAGGTTGAGTATTAGGTTGGACATTAGATATTTAGGTTGGATAACTCCCTCTCAGGATCCTCTTCATAGTCTTCCTGCGAACAATATTAAGCCAAGCTCCAGTTTTTCCACAAGTGGCTGATTTCAGTTTAGAGAGTGAATTTCTTTACAAATCTCATTGTTTCTGTCTAAAACAAAAGCATGACAGCATAGCTTTTGGTAAACGTTTTACTCTGCTCACTCCTCTGCCAGGTCACACTTCCCTGGGAAATACTGTGCTGTACGAAATTGGGTATGGGTTTGTTTTTTTATACCCCCCCTTTTTCTGTTGAGAGACAGAAGTTCAATTTGAATACTTTATTTAAGAGTTAAGCCATCTGCCTTTTGTCAAGTGAAGTCTTAATCAGACACATCCTTTTGGCACTTCTTTCTCTCTGTGCTTTTGTTTGTAATCCCCTTCCTTAACTTTCCATTTGACGTTCCAAGCGTCACGCTCAAACTGTGAACATGCAAACTTTTCACTCAGTTGTTCAGGCAACATTCAGACTTCTATTGTTGCCTCCAAATTTTGACTTCTGCAGCGCAGTGTGGTTTTCTTGAAGAAGTTTTTTCCCCCCGCTACTTTGGACAGTGGTTTAAATTCCCTCTGGACTTGACGAACTAACATGCAGTTGGAACACAATAGCTCTGTTCCAGATGGTTAGTTTGCACTTGGAGGACCTCATGCAGTTGGGGCTCTGTTAGAACTTGGTGCTGTACAAGCTACTGAGGAGGTGGATGGAGCCATTGAAGGACATGGTTATGTTTCTTCTCTCTAAATACATTTTTAAAACTTTCAGCCTTGTTAATTTATTCCAGCGTGAGGAATCGGAATGCTTTGCTTATGAACTGCTCATGTTCTGGTGTAGGCAATTGTTGCAGCTTCTGCCACTGAGGTAGCTAAATATTTAAGGTGTTTTTGGCACAATGTGACTGACCTCATGTTACGAGGGAAGGAAAGAACCTAACCCTGAAGATACTCAGAGCTGATTACAGTAGAGTTACTGATTTTTGCTTTCTATGGGAAATATATGAAGAAAATCCAAACATATTTTTATGTGGCCTTGCAGGTTTTGAGTTTTCAAGTGGTTTTGACACCAGTACATATTTTAATTCATAGTTAACTACTGGTGACATATCTCCCTGAAAAATCTGGAAGCAGCAGTGCCAAGAGTTTGACTCTTCAGACCCTAAATCATCTGCCTAGTCTGGGAATGTATTGAAGTGTGATTTAATTGTGCATTTAAAATGAGATTTTTGGTTTTTGCATGTTTCACTCTGAAATGCCTTTTTCAATTTATTTTGTACAAACCCTTTTGTTAATTATTATTTTGGCTTAATTTCTTTTAGAAACATGTCATTCAGGTTTATCAAAAGGTAGGATTTATTTATATTTAAACCAAAGTGGCTCCTGCAATTAACAACCGATTTGGCTTTCCTAGCCTTGGTTTTCTGAACACTAAACTTTCTGCTGAGAACTAAATACTTTCTTTCTCCAGAGGAAAAGCATAGAATAAATCCATTAACTCGTGATGATACTTAAGAATCTGTGGCACCTGTATAACAAGATGCTAAGCATGCCTTGTGAATTCTTCTCTCCTCGATAGAGTTGGTAGTGCCCAAGTAATTCTGTTCTCTGTACTAATACACTTAGCATGCTCATGTTTGAAGAATGAGGTGTTTGATAACAATGCTGAAAGTGTAAACAAAACATAAGGTTACGAGCAAATAAAGGTAAGTGGTGTTAAATTTGTGTTCTCTATCTCTTTGGTTTGTGATGCTCAAGAAAGAAAGTTGTCTGCAGCTGATCCAGCGGGAAGCAAACTGAGCACAGTTGTGACTTGAACAGATTGGTGTGGAAGATTGGATGAAGATGTGTTTTTAGGTGTACATATTTTTAAGTGGGATGCATTGGCTGAAGGGAATTGCAGCTGAAGTACAGATGGAGCACTTGAGTTGTAAACAGAAAGTACAACCTTTATGCCAATTTACTGACAAAAGGGGAAAGCTCAGGTGTCTGATTCACATTTCCAGCCCAAAGGACTGAGTTGAGTTTTGCAATCTGGGAATGAATCAAGCTGCTATATATCCTGATAATCCATCGTGATTCATCAAAGTAGGTTGTACAATTCTCATACACAGGTAAATTTTCCAGGAGAATTTTGTCATAGCTTGTTTAGTTGTACATATCTTAGAGCTCCTTAAAGGGTGATACTTCCAATTTCCTTCTACTGATCAAGTCCAGGGAGATGAAGCCAAAAACCAGACAAGGCTATACATGTGACTGTGATTTGGAGTTTATCAGATTATTTCAAGGAAAGACTTAGATTAGGGAGGCCTGAGAGATGTAAACTGCTGCCTACACTTGGATTTATTATGTGCAGCCTGAGGCTAAAGGCACCATACCTGATGAAATGAGGAAGTTCCATGCCACAGGAATGATCATCAGCTCTCTTGCCAAACATGACCATGTTTAGAGCTGGTGTTGGCTGGCAGTGTCACAGCTGACCTGAGAAAAGGAACATGCAGCAACTGTTAGTTGAGGGAAGAACCCATCCAACAGAGCACACAGATGAAACTGAGCAGTGGCAGTGGTTTTAACCCATCCTGAGCTGTGGAGTGCAGAGTACTGTGTTAGAGGGAGCTTTTGTCTCTCTGTAGTCACACTGCTCTTAAAACCAAGGGTTGTGATCTGTGCAATCCTCCACACCTGGACCCATCTAAGTTGGTTACACTGCTGCTCTGAAGAAAGATGGAAAATGCTGATAGGAGTAGTTTTAAACTAGAAGGTTCCTGTTCAGATTTGATACCTAAATTTCCTCTGCCTTGAGGCCAAGAGGCTCAGACCAATGTGGCAATAGCTGCTACAGCTTCCACCAGTATGTCTTTGGAACAAGAGATTCGCAGAGTCTTATACTACCTACACAGGACCAGACTCTGCTTTTTAATTCTCTTTGAAGTATGAGGTGTCCCCTCATACCTGATCTGTATGTAGGGACAAAAACTGAAAATCATGAGGGTTTTGGCAATTTCTTCCTGCTGTATATGCTATGAATCTTATCCAAGATCACTTTGATGCTGAAAGAACTGCTTTAATCCAGTAGCTCATATCCAGTGCTGCAGCATCAGTTCTAGGGAGCTGAATAAGAGATAATCAGTCACTCCTTGTTAAACCACTGGGTTTTAATATTGTACTTGGTACACAGAGGTATAATATATATATGTGTGTGTATATATATATATATATATCTTGTATTATACACTGTCCTTGCCAATCTGCATATTGTGGAAGTCTTAACTGGTTTTTTTCTGACAGCAAAAGTGACTCAATGTTCTGGATTTTATTGCAGCATCATTCCACCATTTCCATAAATTGATCTTATTTTAGCATCTTGCACTTTTTTGTTGTTGGTTCTCCATATATTTTCAGACAGATTTCTTTCTGTTTATTTGGATTTTTAACAGAGAGCACACAAAGATGTAAAGAACAGGAAACACAGCATAACTTGGGACAGATGTATGGAAACAAACTGGTTTGTGAAAGCCTTTCACAAACCATAAGGTGTTACAGGCGTTGCATGACAAACAAGAACAACCTTCCTATATATTTGTTCCATTCTTAAGACCAAAGAGCATCTTGGTCCATGAAATTCTATGTGGAAACACAAGCAAAAGCAGAAAATTTAGAGCATAAACTAGCACAGAAGTGAAGATTGTATTAGCAGTGAGAGGCCTCGGGGCTGCATCTCCTGCAGACCAGAGCAATGTTGGCAGTACAGTAAGTGGCTGTTCCCAAAGAAGCAGTGTTGGGCTGCAGAACTGCACCTAACCATGTCCCTCATGAAGGTAGGAGCACCTGAAGAGACTGGCAGAGCTCTCCAAAAGCTTGGCAGGATGGCTCAGGAATGTCACTGTCAGTTCTTGCACTCAGTGAATGGGTACATGGAAAAACTGAACAAAGTTAAGGATTTTCTGGGAGGCTTCCATGGAAGAGTTTTTATTATTTCAGAGTGGCAGGTATTTTGTAAATAATGACCTTTCTTAGCTTTAGAGTACAGTGGTTTGGAAACTGAACAGTTTGGCTTCATTTCAACCTGGAAAAGTTGTCAGAGCATCATTAGGGATTTTTCCTTACAGACTTTTCTGGACAGGTTCCAGTAACAGTAAGGCTATTCATTGTTGGGGAGGCTGGCTTTGTTCCCGTTTTCTACAACCTTTGGCAAGTTTAAAAACAAAGCAAAACACAACAAAACCCACAAAAATCCATGAGTGTTTGCAGCTCTTAACAAAGCTGTCATCTTCCACTTCGTAGCAGCACAGTAGAGTGTGTAAAGTTCAAGTCCTCCATTTTTCAGCTGGGCAGTGTCTTCTCTAACTTGTTGGTTGCTTTGCCCAGTAAAACAGTCATCTGAAAGGTGTGGGTCTGTTCAGCTGGTACATATTCCCACGCTCCCCACGGCAGTGTCACAGCCCCAAGGCTGACAGAGCTCCAGAGGTGTTTGGCCAAAGCTCTCAGCACAGGGTGTGATTGTCAGGGATATCTGTGCAGGGCAGGAATTTGACTGGATGATCCTCAAGGGTCCCTTCCAGCCCTGTGGTTCCTTCCTGGTTGCCCCTTCTTCAGTCCTATAGAGGCTGACCTGTCACTGCAACCCTCACAAGGAGGGAGAGGAGGAAATTGAGCCTTGTATCACCACACACAGCCTGATATAAATATCACTGTGTAGCAGAAAATAGGCTCACTGTTTTACATTCCCATCCCTGGACACCTGTCAGCCAAACTGCTGGAAAAACTTTGGTTATTCAGGGAAGCCTTAGAGTAGTCTTGAGAAGAGCAGCATCCCTCTGAACAGAACTGATACTGAGATGCTGAGCCATGGTATTGCAACAATGGGAATGTAGAGGAAGATCTTTTCCCCTTAATTCTGCTTGATTCTGGGCTTAAAAAAAGTGGTAGTAATCAGTAGTGCAGCTGTAAGTGATGCAAGGAGACATAGCCTGAGCTTGCTCTTGGGTGTGGAAGGTGCCTCAGTGTGAGAGTTAATAGGGTGGAGTCAGCACAGCCTGAGAAATCTTGGATTTACCTCTAAACTCCTGTTAAAATGTATGTGCCTCTGGTTCTTTTGCATTAAAGTATTTTGGTGGTGTTTAAGCAGCTCAGATCTGGGGTGCATGCAAATACTCAGGGTGATCAGACTTGTCTGTAAATAAGGGGGGGGTTCAAATACAGATTTTATTCCCAGATAAAGCTCTGAGATATCGTTAACCTAAAGACAATTGGGAGTCATTTCTCTTTTAAGAGGTATTCCTAAGTAATACAATCACTTCAATATGCTCTATAACTTCAGTTTCACATTTTCTGCTTTTAGAACTTGAGCTTTGTTCATTGAGTTCCCCAGATCCAATACATGAACATACACTGTTAAAATCAGTTATGGTTGTTTCAAAACCTGCAGTTTATAGACTTCTATTTGGTTTGACAATGTTATATCCCGAGTTTGGCCTAACCTGCAAAGTTCTTTACATCTTTGTCAATTTGTATTTGAACACACCTGTGGTATGATTATCTTTTAGCAACTACTCAGATATTGTATATTGTAGTGTAAGATTTGTCTTCTCTTTCCCACTTCCTTTTGCTTCTGCATTCTTTTCAATGAGGCTCCCGACTGAATATGAGAGGAACGGGAGATTTGAGGGCTCAAGGTGAGGGTAAAATTCTTGTTTAAAATGTTCCTTAGGTGAGTTTGATTTTTTCTCCCCCTTGATTATGTGGCATAGTGGCTTCAGGCAGCAGCTTTTGTTTCGTGTAAGTCATGGAAACTAAACAAAGAAGCATTTCTGTCTGCAAAACAGCTATTATAAAGCACTGACTGACTTGGTTGGAAACTTTCATCTTCCCTGTTGCCTTTTCCCTTGTGTGTGGTTTTTATTTTGCATTTTAGTCGTAATTTGCTGTTGTCTTTTAGATGTGTAGGTAAGTGATCTCTAGTGAGGCTGCAGGTGTGTGGGATAACCACTGACAGGTGATAAGATACTTCTCATCTCCAAAATCACCTATAGTTAAACGATGTTTTTTGTGCTATATTCTCAATTCAAAATCAGCACACCAAAAAAAAATGGGAATTATCAGCTGTTTTCCAGTAGAAAAGGCTGTCAGAACTGAAGTGAGCATTCCTCTGTCCCCTTACAGCCTCTATAAGTTGAAACCTTAAAACACTCTTTAATTTGCTCGATGAGTTCTCTAACATCTGTCAGACCACGTGGATGGGTTTGACAGCACAGTCCTGTGACTCTCACTGCAAGACTTTTAATAGCAGGAAAATTATGAAATAGGTTATCTGTAAGAAATATGTGTATTTAGTTGTGGCTTTGCTATCACTTTTTGTTTATCTTCTTCATAATTGTCTGCTTAATGATAGAAGGAAAACATTGTGCAACCAGAAATTCATTGCCAACTCTTCTAAAGAGCAGCTTGGCTTGAGATTGGAAATTGAACTTTGAGGCTCGACATGAGACCTAAACTTCATGGTTTGGGGTCACTTAGGTTAGCTGTGTTCAGAAAATAGTTTGACAGTGCAAATGTACAGTACAGTGTACAAATATTCCTGAAGCAAATCTGTGTTTGTTCCCTGGAGGTCCAGATGTAGTTCCTTATGCTTTAGTTGTGTGACCACTGATTTTAATTAGGGTAGAAGAATGGCTGCAAACTAGAAATTTCTGGAACGTTTCTTTCCTTTGTCCTGTATAACTTCATTTAGCCTTGCCAAAGGAAAAGCCTTTTCATTAGAAAAAAAGAAGCTGTAGACTTGGGAAGCACAGCCTGAATATTTTGTGGCTTCTCTCTTAAGACTGTGACAGTAATGGTAACTTTACAAACAGCATCAAGGAGGTGTTTAGTAGTGACTTCCAACTCTCCTTGCATGTCATCCTCAGAGGCTGCAGAGCTTGTAGCCACGAAAGATTTCATCACTTCACCTCTGTCAGTCATTGGGGTTTAACAAATTCCTGACCAGTTTAAGAGGAAGCATTTTCTCTCTGAAGGGAACCCCAGTAGCCTACAGTGTGTGGGTTTCTAGGGATCTTCTCAAACACTCCCCAGCACAGGAAGGACAGAGTGACCCAGCCCAGATCAGGAGGGTGACCCCTGGTCCTGCTGTCCTATCTCCTGCTCACAGCTGACTTTTGTGCAGTGCTTGGTCTCCAACCTGCCACACAGGAGGAGATGTAGAGGAGCCCCCAGTGTCTCTCTGCGTGGGCTCACCCCATTGCCTACGAGTGGGCACCTCCCATGGCCTGGGCTGAGCACCCTTTTGTCACAAGGAGCTGCTACTTGAATGTTCCAGAAACTTCTAGCACAGAGCTGATGTTTCAGCTGCCCACACGGCCCCGGAATAGGGTTTTGAGCAGAACCTGCCTTGATAAAATCAAGTCGTAGGTGACGCATGTCGTTCTGCCTCCACGGGGTCATTCCCCTCATGCTCCTGAACCCAGTGACTTCCAGCTATGTGACATGTTGTGCCATTCCTCGTTCCAGCAGCTAGTGCTTCCCCTGACGCTGTGTGTGTGGCAGCAGCTGGGAGAGCAGGGCTTGGCTCGCAGCTGGAGCCTCTGGTGCTGATGGTGTGGTTGAGTGTTAGTTGCTTCACTAACATGACCTGTGGGGAAGGTGCTGGCCCTGCTGACTCCTGAACTCCTGTCTTTCAGCCGCAATGTAGCTGTGGATCAGAAGGATGAGAACAAGGAAGCCAAGCCTCGGTCGCTGCGTTTCACCTGGAGCATGAAAACCACCAGCTCCATGGATCCCAATGACATGATGAGGGAAATCCGCAAGGTCCTGGATGCCAATAATTGTGACTATGAACAGAGAGAGCGTTTCTTGCTTTTCTGTGTCCATGGAGATGGGCATGCAGAGAACCTTGTCCAGTGGGAGATGGAGGTGTGTAAACTGCCAAGACTGTCCCTGAACGGAGTTCGCTTTAAGCGGATATCGGGAACATCCATAGCTTTCAAAAACATTGCTTCCAAAATTGCCAATGAGTTAAAGCTGTAACGAGAAAACAATAGTTAAGTTGTAAATTAGTTAGCAATTTCAAGTGTTTTTGAGAATTCCGATGGAAATGTATAGAATAACATTTAGGCAATAACTTCTGCATCCTTCTGAATAGTGATATTAAAACAAAAGCTGCTGAGCTGGGAGGGAGAGTTGGACTTTTTTATAAGTGCACTACAGCATTAAAGTTGCCTACTATGTAAAATATTACCCCTTCTGCTTTATTTCCATTGCTCCCAAGTCTTTGACAACAAATTGAAACACAGAATATATTCCTTGAGATATGCCTCCCGTTTGTGTGGGTGTGTGAATGTACAGTATGTGTGTATAATATATAAAGTATTCTATGTAAACGATTCATTGACAACATCGAGCTGTACCAGTACCTCTTTTTGGGCTAATTTTGGTGCTAAAAATTGAAATGGCCAAGGAGGAAAACACTTGAGTTAATATTTAAAACAACTGAAGCGATAACCAGTACGTGCAGGTTTACAGTTCACTGCTGTGTTAAGGAAGAAAAAAAAAAAGTGTGTGAAGGGTTTGGATTTACGGTTGTGAACATTATTAGTCCTGTTTTCTAAGTAGATCTCCTGAGATTATTAAAAGTTCACTTTTACTGAGTAAGTCTTGCATTATATTTTGCCCACCTATTTATTATTTAAGTCTGGATCAAACTTTAATAATGTAGTTAATTTGTGCATTTGATATTTGGGTAAACACTTCCATTCTTCTGCTTCTGCTGAGCTACTCCAATTGTATCTCTGTCCATTTGGCTGAGTATTCATCCTAGCTGAGAACACTTTGTTGTTCCACCTTTCCTCTGGGGAATGAGGCAGTCTAAAAGGAGGTGCTAATTGCTAGTGACTTTCTTTCAGAGCAAGTTTTCCACCTAGATCAGAGTGATACAAAGCACAAAAGGACTCTCAAATCGTGGCCATACTTTGCTGCAGTTCTGAGATCTTGCTGCAGGTGGGGGCAGGACTGTCCTTCGCCTTCTGGGCACACACAGCATTGAAAACCGAAAGTGGGAATGGAATTGGCTACTGAACGCGCTGTTGTAACCTCCAACTTGCTAAACTACAGCCACAGGCAGTAGCAGTTAAAGCTTTTCCTTGCAGCTCTCTTCACTGTGCTTCCCCTTGGCTCCAGTTGTGTTGCTTTGGTGGCTCTGGGCCAGTTGTCTCTGGCTTCTGCTGCCGAGGGAGTCATAGAACCACAGGATTTTAGGGGTTGGAATGGACCTTCGAGACCATCCAGCCCCAACCCCCTGCCTTGGGCAGGGACACCTCCCACCAGAGCAGGTTGCTCAAGGCTCAGCCAACCTGGCTGTGAACACTGCCAGGGTTGGGGCAGCCACAGCCTCCCTGTCCGTGTTGCTCCATGCAGAGTGGAACTCATCCTTGAGGAACCCTCTGATGGCCAGTTAGCCTTTGGTAGGACATGAAGCTGCTCTGGGATAGTCCCCAATTTTCAACCATCACTGCAGTGAGCCAGATTTGATTTTGCAAACTAGAATGAAGAGATTTCTTCCTGCATTGTTTCCTACTGATACTCAGTTTATTTCATCGAGGACTCGTGTAGATAATATCCTGCATTATCTACTTGACTTTTTGTACTAGTGTTTTGTGGTTATATTTCAGTGAAGCACTTAAGCATGTACTTAACATGTGCTTTAAACTGGAGCCTAAATTTGCATTTTTTAAATTTGCAGTGAGCTAATAGTTACTCATAGTACACAGTTCAGATTTGACCCGAGGTGAAAATGCAAAGTCCTTAATATTTTGCAAGTTAGTTCTTGTGATCTGTAGTCTGTGAAGGCAGCAGACTTCCCCCTCTCTCCCCCTAAGCATTGATATTGATTATGCTAGTTTAAAGGGTAATCCTAGTTGTTAAATGTAGTAAATATTCCTGAATTTGCATTTTATTCTCTGTATATTCTGTATCATGCCATGGCTTGAGAACTCCAGGTGCTCCCGGGGTTCAGTTGGCTTTCAGTGCTCTGCCCGTGCCTGTGCTGCTCAGTATGGTTTTTTCCATGAAAACTCCATTTTGTAATAGCAATAAGACATTTCAGGGCAGTCATTGTACTTTCTCAGGTGAGTGGTCACCTGTCCTTTCACTTCCTACGTTCTAAGCACTCCTCCAAATGTATTTTTTTCACCCAGCAGTGCACTTTGTTGTCTGAACTGAAAAAGTGTTCTGATAAAAATGATGTAAATCTGTATTCGATGGAAGTTCCAAAAGGTTTCATATTAAATGTTTTCTGAAATACTCTCTTCCTACTTCACCTGTTAAGTATGTAATTGTTTCTAAAGAAGTGCACCAGTATTACACTTTGGATATTTAAAGTTTGTACTTCGGTATCTTTTTTTTTTTCTTAAAAGTGTTCTCAAAAGGTTCTTTCAGAGTAAATCTTTTTATTTGAGGTGTTAAAAAAGTGACTTATTCTAATCCAAATCAGATTTTATTTTTTTTTAACAGCTTCCTTCCCAAATGCCTTGTAAAATTACCAAGTGGCAAGAATATACCCTTGTTTCTTTAGCACACTGCATGCTTTGCTGCTCGAGCCTCTGGGAGTTGCCTGGGAAGGAAAACTGCTTTCTTCAGCTCCCCAAACCAAAGATGAACTGCTTCCCCAACACTTTCACCTGCTCATATCCCTCAGGAATCTGGGTAGGTTTGCTCATGTTCCTTAGGAATCTGTGTAGATAGGACTCTGCAGAACTGCAGCTGGGTTTTGTCTCCTTGAGGGAGGCAAGTGAGAATCCTCAGAGGTTAGTGCGTGGTGAGGAGGCAGCAGCAGGCCCAGGTGGTTTGAGACACGTGTATAGCTACTGAGGAGCCTTTTTCTGTGCTGACGTGAGTGGTGTCCTGGGCTGTGTGGTCCAAGTGCTGACTCTTGGCATTGCAGAAATCCTTTGTCATCACCTCTGGAGGTGTGTTGGTTGGTGGGTCTGGCAGAGGAAAATGCAGTAGAGTTTGGGTTGTGGGGCTTGACTGCTTGAAATAAAAGTGTTTCAGGATAGATAAAGTAAAAATCTGAACACTAAGCAGGAGCAAACAAGTTCAGATAAACTTTTTTTTTGTCTCATGCAAACCTTCCCTGTGCTTAGGATTTCTGAAGCACTTCAGTCTGTTTGGGCTCTTTAGTCTGAGGTCCTTGAGCATGTTGAGAAGAAGCAGAGAGAGGAGGGTTAGAGGAACAGCTAGTCCTGCCAGCCTGAGTGTTTTGCTACTTTAGTCAAGCTATGGCATGTGTTCCAGAGACTTTTAGTACAGACCTGGGCAAGGTTCACCTTTTTCTCTCGTATTACAGTGAGGTTTCAAGATCAAATATAGAGTCTGTATCCCAGTTTTTTCTAATTACAGCAATTTATGTCAAGATAAGTTAGATGATTAAAAAAAAAAAACCCTGAAATTAGTATCCGCATGTTTGTACTGCAGAAATGAAGCGCAAGGTTCAGGAGTCCTCCTAGTCTGGGCGTAGGGAAGGATTGTAGCAGCTCTGGAATTGAAAAGGAGCTCTCTCCGATTCAGCTAAGAGCTCAGCTATACATGGGCCCTCTGGGATAATGTGGAGAGGCTTTTAATCACTTTCCCACAGCTCTGCTGTGTTACACACCATGTTGTGGGCTGCAGTTTCATTAGGACTGCAGCCAGCTGGGAGAGACATTTTCTCTGCTAAGCTCTGCTCTGGAGCTGCAGTGGCAGCAGCTACTCAGGGTTAAAACCTGTTTGCTCGTGGTGGGTTTGGTTCCTGAAGGTCTGGGCCAGAGGCTCCTGGGAAGTAGTGTCACTCCAGGCTGGGTCAGTTTGGTGTTTTTGCTGTGATCAGCTACCCAAGACCATGTCTTAGTAACTGAGAGAGTTCAATATGTAGAGAATCTCAGGAGTAGATGGAATTTCTGCTAACTGGGGGATCATACCAGTGTCAGATTTTTGTTCTCTGGTTTGCGTTGGAGATGTTTAGGATGTATTCAAAGCTGTTTTGGGAAGCTTATCTAACTGTAGATGAACAGTTGATTTTAATCATGTAGATTTGCCATTTCCTCTATTTCCAATTGTCGATACAATCTCATTTCTGTAAGTTTTCCTAGAAAAGCCCTGGAGCTCTGCTCACAGATCTCTGGTGCTGCCAACTGAACCCCAGATCTGACATTCTGATCAAGTGTGGTTGTGAAAATTCCACCTTGCACTGGAGTTTTTCCCTCCAGTAGTTTCACTACTGACCATTGCTTCAGAGAATAAACTGTTATCCAGCAGGAAAGGGCATTGAGCTTTGGGTAAAAACTCAACCCAGTGCACTTAATAAGTTTTTAGTAGTTCAGTTTCTTCATACCCAATGCATATCAGATTTCTGGGTGACAATGGCAGTAAATGCCTAGAGAAAATCAAGGCAGATGCAGTAATTGCTCTGTGTGTTTTCCTAACTTCTGGCAAACTTATGAGCAGAAAAAGGCAAACCCATAAACTTACCCAGCTAACTTGATGGGTTTCATGTTCCTCTTTCTGCCAGTGTCTTCTTAGAGCCCTGCCAGGTGCTGCCTGCAAGCAAAGGGGCTGGATGAGCTTAGCAAACCCATGGAGGAGAACTTGTGTCACCACCCCGTGCTTCTGAGGTTGAAACAGTTTGGTATTTGCAGCAAAAGAATTTGAAAGACCCTTCACTGGGTTTTTTTGGCCTTCTAAGAATGTTCTAACCTTTGGTACAAACATCAGGCTCTTGTTCCAGCAGTGACTGAAAACAGAATTATGTCAATACCAACACTGGATCCTCTGAGTGTGCACAGTTCAGGGCACTGGTTGCCACTTGCTGGGAGTTCTCCTTCGCCTGCATTAACACCTTGTACTGGTTGTGACTTAGGTAAGATAATTACTATGGGGGAAAAATGGGTTTGTTTGCTTTTTGCCTGTGTGTTGAGGCCTTGAGACTGTGTGTTCAAGACTGGGATGTGAAATCCATGCAGAGTGGCCATGGTTATGGTTGCTGTGGGAACCACGGCATGGGATTTAAAGGCAGAGAAACGTGGCAGTTCTCATTCCATTAATACCCTTATGTTACCCTATAACATCCTCATAAAATTCAGGGCATAAAAACAAAATAGAGTTTGTGTTTCCTTGCAGCTGCTGATCACACTGAATGTATTAGGTGAATAAAATCAGATAGCAAAATACCTCACCATGAAAATAACTGTTTAAAAAAAATCAGAAAGTAAAATGTTACTGGTGTTACAATCACACAGTTTTCCATTGTTTGCCTGTCTCGAGGTCAAGTCCTGTTTGTTTGGAGGTGTCTTACCAAGGCCTCAGCTTGGTGTGAGCACTGTCACTAGCAACAAACAGCAAAGCTCCTAAGCATGGAATTATTTCCTCCCCCTGGCTTACCCAGCCAAAAGGCATCAAATGAAGTGTTTCCACACGTGTTTCCACACAGATGGGAAAAACACTGATAGGAGCTTGGAGGCATTGCTATAGTTGTGTGTCTGTGGTGCCAAAGGAGCAGGGACTGGTGGCATGGGATGCCTGTTGGAACATGGGAGGGTCAGGATGGATGGAATTGTTCATCTGAAAGGACTTGGCAGTGCTGGTGGCACAGCTCAGTGTGACCAACAGTGTGCACAGGG